CTCGCTTGCTCTCCTCTCAGAGATCCTGCTGCCCGCTGGGCACAGATACCAGCCTCTCTCTCGCTCGCTCTCCTCTCAGAGATCCCGCTGGGCACAGATACCAGCCTCTCTTTCGCTCGCTCTCCTCTCGGAGATCCTGCTGGGCACAGATACCAGCCTCTCTCTCGCTCGCTCTCCTCTCAGAGATCCTGCTGCCCGCTGGGCACAGATACCAGCCTCTCCCTCCTCTCTCTCTCCTCAGAGATCCCTGGGCCCTCTCAGGCTGGTGCAGGAGGAGGCTGTGGCACAGTGCCCTGCTCTACAGCACCTGGTGCCGATGGGCCAGAGCTCAGTGCAGGCAGGTCTGTCTTCAGCTCATCATCTCTCTCAGCCACTGTGCCTTCCTCTCCTCCTGTCGTCTCTCGCAATTCAATTCAAGGGGCTTTATTAGCTTGACCGATGGGTACAATCAGTGTTGCCAAGGCAAATAAAAATTCACATGAAAATAAAACCAAAAATAAAATCTACAGACATTTACAACAAAGATGTAAGATGTATTACATCTACTGTAGAAATATGGAGCATTACTGGGAGACAGGCTCACTGTTCCTCAGGCTGGGACAGGAGATCACATACTGGGCTGCCAGTTCAATTGAGTTCTCTCCTCCCTCTCCCAATAGGATTGGGACCCGTTGTGATTCTCTCCTCTCTCTGTGCTGCTGTGCCTCCTATCCTCACTCACTCAAGCTCTTCTCTCTTTGCAGTTCAACAGGATCCCAGCAGTTCTGATTTGGGAAGAGATGCCAAGAATCTCTACAACATGATTGTATGATGTTGCAATAAAGAATCTTGAGAAACAGGAGTTACTGTCTCTGTGCAGTGTCAGTGTACAGTAATAATTATAATAATTGCTCACACTTGTATAGCACTTTTCTGGACACTCCACTCAAAGCGCTTTACAGGTAATGGGGACTCCCCTCCACCACAGTAGTGTGCAGGAGGAGTGTGTGTATTAACCCCTCT